TTTTTTTTTTTTACACATGTGTTGGGGTTTATGCCGGGGTGGAGTAGGTAATAGGAAGGGAGTGGGTCTGACCGTCCTGCGCGCTCCCGCCATGATGTGTTGGAACCTTTTGTATGGGGGCGCGGCTGTCGGGAACGCGCTTAGTGCCAAACTGTATGGCTAGCCAGTAGGCTACGTTTACAATAAAATAAGAACATTACGCCTAAAGTTATCAAAGTTTGGAAGCTTAATGGCATGTGTTTATTCTGTTAACGCGGGGGAACACAACTCAGTAACTTTGAGTTTTGAAGGGGGAAGGGGAATGTGTCATGTTGAAAGCCTCTAACCTTGTCCCACCAGAAACAGACTGATGGGTAATTGGGCGTCGTGTTTCGGTTCGAAAAAGCTAAAAATAAAACTAAGGTAAACAACTGAATAGGTGGGTGTACGGATGACTCACAATCACGGGGCAATCCTTGTCACGGCCAAAGTCATAGCAAAATATTACACATCAGACAGGGGCAGGGCAGTCGGTCCAACCACTCCAAAGCTCCAAAGTCATCATCAAAGATCGTCTATTTCAAAAATCAGTCTATGAGCAGTTGGCTTTTTACAGAGTTACCTCTCGCTGTGCCCTAAATGCAGTTAACCAGCATACAGACAGTAGCTACAGTAGACCTGAGGGCCAGTTTTATTTTCTTCCAAGCGTCTAATCACAAATGATCAAGTCTTACATCAAAGTTGTGTAGGCCTATAAATTATCAACACACATTAAGTAATTATAAAATAGTCTTTAAAGGCCCACTCTTCTGAAACAATATCAGCAATATCTCCTCTCTCCTCTGAAAAAAGAAATGTAACAATTCTTATGGAAAAATGTTTGTAAGCCTATGTAGCCTATGCTTTTAGTGTCCCTCCAGCACAGGGCTTTTATCCAAACCATGATTCTACTCACTTTTGTTTGAGACCAATGTTAAATGTATAATGAGGATAAAAGTCTTATTTTAAACACCACTTTGATCATTTGTTATAATGTACTTTGTCACACCATATGTTTACCAATGGTGGATTTTTTTCTCTAAAACTGGGATCACACATCAGCTCTCACAACTTTGACAACTGCAACTTTGTGGGCTTGTTGATGTCTTGCAAGTTGATGTCAGTTCCTTAAAGAATGCTGTAAACAAAAACGTGTCATTTTAACACCATGCAACACACTAACTGTAAGAAGCAATGTTAATGTACTGGCCTAATTCTGGTTATAATATGCCTAACAAAAGCAGGAGCTAATACAAATGGTCTACTTTTGTAAGTGATCTAAATTTTATTATATATTTTAATAATATGGTGCTGCTTTGGGACATCACAGTTGTTGGTAAAAGGTACAGTTATAGGCTATGTCTAGAGGTAAAAAAAAACAACTGGATCAGTATGTTTTCTGGATCCCTCTGATCTTGCCATGTAAGGGTTTTTTTCACAAACTGGTCAAAATTCAATGAAGTTTACTTGAAATAAGATCCCATGTGACAGAAGGTTGAGTAATTGTATTCTAGGTCTCCCATAAAAAAATAGAATTCATTTTGGTGGGAATACAAAGGCCTTACCCAACAAAAAAAAAATCTTGAATTAACCTTTGGAGATGGCCACATTTATACTGAGTGGGAAAAGTAGACAAACATTTGGTCAGGCTATGTCATAGAAATTCAGGCCCCTTGTAGGAGCTACCTTTGAAGCGGGGACAGACTCGTCACCTTTCATGACCTTTAACTTCAAAGTATCTGAACCGATCTGAACCAAACAGACCAGGCAGACTATGCAAAGAAACACGGCTTACAAGTGCAGACAACCAGAGGGAATGACCATAGCTTACCTATGGCAGAATATAGCAATGGAGTATAATGTAAAAAAATAAAATAGGTTATACGAAACCAAAAAAGTGATTGTTATTGTTTTTATTGCCTGTCCATTAATGTTGATATATATTGCCACCTTTTAAAAAGCTGTTTATGTTTACAATTCCAGCTAGCAAATTCAAAATAGCCTATGAGACTGTTGAAAAACACAAAGACTGTTTCTTCAAACTGAAAATGTGGTACTCTTAAAAGGCGGGAGAGTGAGATGTCTGTCTTCCTATCCTCGTCCCTTCCTCTCCTGCTCGCTGCCTGTTTCACTTCAGTCGATAGGCTCTTGTTTAACTCGCTCCCCTTTCTCATGTCGCTCCCTCCCATTGGACAACTCCCATCCTCTTCCTCTCTTCCCATTGGACGGGGCGGGCGGGCGATGAGCTCATATTGGTTAAATATAGTGGGCTCGCGAGGGGCTAAAAATAGCTAGGTATATAAAGGCGGCGGTTCAGCTGCGCTGGGCGCTACTTCGCTCCGGCCGGCAGCCGGAGGAGCAGAAAGAGAGGCGGAGAAAGAAGGCAGGCTCGCTACCCGCAGCAGCAGCAGCAGCCTCCCTCTTGCTCATTCCTCTAGAAGTGTTGCACCAGAGGCGGCGATGTGTCTTACATTATTGCCCGGCCACCAGTTTTGGGTGGAGGAGGCAGTGACGAGCTTCCTTCCTTCCTTTTGCACTCTGGTTTCGTTCTGAGTGTCTCCAGAGAGCACAGTCATTTCCCCTAGCTGAGCATTGAAGTTGCAATGGGCAGATGAAGTAATGTTTTTTTTAACAACCTATAGTAATGAACTTGTACCCTGTGATGTTTCTGTAACAAAGGTGGCAAATGTTAAGACGTATAGGCTATTTTTGCCACCAGCTGTGGACAGATATGTATCTAGTCTGTTTGTTGTAACGTTTCTACACCCTTTTAATGTAGCTTTGTCCAAGTGAAGCAGTGTGGGGGACAACAGCAGACGCATTAAGCCAACATGTTGGGTTCAAGTGATCAATAAAAGGGCTGTATATACCCGTCACTTCCAAAGAGCATTCTATGTAACATGGAAGAAAAATGCATGCAATGAGCTAGGAGGCCAGTAGACTGACACTGATCTAGCTGATGGTCTAGTATTTTACAGGAAAGGTAAAACATGCTCTGCTTTCACAAGGTGTCATTTTCAGTCAGGAAATCACAAGCTGACTTTGTGTTTCCTCTCTCATCCACCCACAGTACCTTTTATAAGCCACTATTAGAGGCCAATTCCTCCCACCATCCATCCTTCCATTTTCTATAGCCTACCTACTTATCCCCCCTTCTCCTCCTCTTATCATACTGCCCAAAGGTCACTCTGTGCACAGCTCTGATGTAATAAGGTGGAAACTAGAGTTTGACCTGTGATCTGAGTGGTAAGCAATGGAAACAATGCCAACTGGAAAGCTGGAAAATGTATAGGCTTGAAGTTGTACGATCTTGAGATCTTCACTTTAGAAAATTAAAGTGCCCCTGATTATTTGTTTTTATTTTGAATAGCCAAACTACTATATCTCTTAGTTTACATTTTATCCAAAATTGTACTTTACCTGTCTTTGTTAACCCTACAGTTTTATGTTGGTAGTTTTTTTCTCTCCTTATATCAAATATATTGTCTTAAATTGGATGTTTTATTTTTTTTCTGTTATTTTGTCCTTCCCATGGATCCAATATGTTGACAGTTGTATTCAGTCCTTTCTTTCTCTGTTAAAAAAAACTGCATTAAAGGACATCAATGTTGAATTGGGTAGAATATCCTCCTTTTGTCCCATTTGGTCCAATCTGTCAAAAAACAACTGTGACTTCATTATGCCAGTCTGATTGAAAAACTTTAGATCTGTGCTGCATGTAGAGCATTGAAGCTTGTTTTATAGGAAAATGATAAATGAATGCTCTGTATAATCATCATCCTGCTCCTACATTCATCCGTTTTTATTCCTAGGTTTCCACTCCTCCGCACTGGCTTACACAACTAGTCTTTTTATCTGTTGGTTATAGAGCAACCATACACTTGCAGCTTCTCCATACTCCAGCATCATCCCACACATGCTGAATTCACCTCACCCCAACATCCCACTCACTCTGTTCCCTCTGCAGCATGCAGAGGCCTCACAGCAAGGCTGCTGGCTTCTCTCTTTGTGCTTTCTGCCTTTCAACCTGCAATCCTCCCAGTAAAAGTATTATACCTTTGTTTAAATGTAACTTTATAACAATAGAAATATGAGTTCTCTCTCTCTCTTTTCAAAGTGATACTACAGAAGTTGCAAGATAACATGACACATTTAGTTTCCATTTATCTTATGTGTGAACCTCTTGTTTTAAGTTTGTGATATAACTATTGAAACACTTGTAGGACAGTAAAACAAAACATACTTACCTAACAAACCATGGAAATTAGCAAAGGGAACATAACACAAGCTAACATTTGCTAGCCACTGGCTACTGGCCAGAAGCAGCAAAACCTCTTGAATATGGAGGAATGAATAATAGTGACCATGTCTTATTATTAACTACTTAATTACTTCCTGTTACAGTGTCAGTTTATTATAAATATGCAGTTTTGGGGTTTTTTTTACCTTCAAAATCATCTCTTACACTTAGTGATATTGTGGGTGTGGATGACTCTGTGAACCATTCCTCATGTTGTCTACTGGGCCTTATGATTGGATGACTCTGGATGGACTCTCATCCAATCAAAAAGGGGACTTTATGGTCCAAATAATAATCGGTGGAAAATCTCCATACGGCCTGTTTGAGCACAGTTACTGAAAGTGGAGCAGACCAAAGATGGAGATGATGGACTTTTCTAATAAATGGATTGTTTGTAGACAGACTAGGGACACATATTAGTTCTAGATAAACATTAAGTGCATATTGCATAATGTCACCTTTAATGGTAAACACAAGTTTGGAGGGAATTTGATGATGTCAAATGTCTTCTTCCTTCTCCTTGCATGTTTTTTTAACACACTTCCATGTTATGTATCATTTGTCAGTCAATGTGGTATTTATATCACATCTCTTGTAGACTGAAATAAATGTAGTGACCAGTTAATTAAAAAAAACCTGTATCTATTACTCCATTCAGACTTCACAATGAAGAGCAGCTGAGTGTTATAGAAAGTAATTTATTACACAAACCAAAGCTAGTTTACAAATACAGTTTCCAGTCCTGTGCGTGTGTATAGTCTAGTATGAACAAACCCACATTTCATATTTACAGACTTTGCATACAGCTTTGTTTTCCTGTTCCTTGGTTTACATCACTGCTTCAGCATCCACAAATCTGGATTTAAAAATACAATAAAAAGTAGAAATAAGAATGATTTGTACAGAATAAGGAGACATACATTGATTTTTTCTTTTTTTGTCTTTTGTTTGTGTTTAAAACAAACAGCAAAAGAGCCAGCACATGTGGTCCTAGCGATGCTCTACACAGGCAGCCGAGAGGCCAGCCTTTCTCCTGACTGCCCAACAACAGCATTTGGCAGTGATGATTGACAGGTCGTTACACCCCAGAGAAAATCATCAGGAAACTTCGGTTAAAGCACATGAGAATAAACGAAAGCCACACATAAGCAGTCTCCTATCGTCCACCTCCTATTTTAAATACTGATAGACAACATATTTATGACGTTTCTCTTTTAAAAATCAGGAAATAAAGTTTAAAAACATCACAAAACTGGGTTTCTGGAACAGGCTCCTCCCAGTAGGCCAGGGAGAAAAACAGGAGGGTGCACTGTCGAGAGAGTCCCTGAACCTGGCAGCGTAACACTGAAGGGTCAGAGAGGGCTGAATGTTCCCAAATATAGCCCGTCGCTCTCATTATTTTTATAACGGAAAGACCTAGAAATGAAACTTTTCCATTATACAGCAGGTAGTTAATTGTCACTATGCTGGTAACTGAAGACTATTGCCATGTTTTACCCTCAAAATTTAACCGGCTGTCCAACCTGCCCATTCCTGTATTTCCATGCACATGATTCTGTATAAAAGGTCATGCCGTATGTGTCAGGTTTGTCTTTTTGAGATAAACTGTTCATGCAGGTGGCAGATACCAACAGTAAACCAATAAAGGCTGACGAGCATGGTGGATAACAAGTTCCATCTCAGGCACATTTTTTTCCACTCATAATCATATTTTACATTTGACCTTTATAAAAGAAACGGTTCTGTAATACAGATATCAGCGGTTGGAGCGCATATAAAAACAATTCTCTCCTCTCCTTGTTCTTCATCCTGGTCTAAAGCCTGGGGGGAGATGAGCATCAGCAGTCAGCTATGTGGAAGTGGAAGGGATGGCAGCTGAGCCAGGGCAGAGGTTGCTCTGGTTGTACTCTGCAGGGGAGGAAGCTACCTTTGTCATTCAGAGGGACCACAGTTATCCTGCCACTAATACAATTCAACTAACATTTGTAAAGTAGACAAACCAACAATGCTGCTCTCTGGGAAAAAAAGTTACAGTTACAGTGCATACTACAACACTGCTCAGGTACTGCATGTTCAAAGCAGCAACTGGACTACAGGTGGTGGTGAGAGCCAGTTTATAATTACAGATGAGATCATGATGCTCACAAAGAAGTTTCACTTATAAACATGCAGTGATAGCCAAATGTTGGTTTCAAACAACCAGGTAACTTTGCCTGTGTTTGTCACAGTGAGTCTGTAAGCATGGGATTAGCCACAGTGACAGACTAAGCTGGACACGTGAGCATGGAGCTCCACTCTCCTCAGATAATAAGATACAAATGGTCTGAGCACGTGACGGCATGTGACCATTAATTTAACAACGTAGATCAAACAACTGTGTCAGTACAAACTTTCTTGTCTTGAAAGTATATTCTTTTTTTTTTTGGTCCATGAAATAATTGCAACACGTGCTTCAAGCACCATTTAAAGAAGCAGTTGACTGATTGAGTAGATTGTGGATTTGTCTACTTTATTGGCTGTTAAAATAACCTGTCCTGGTAACTACAGCATTAAACATTAGCTGAAAGTGCACAACTATCTAATCTGCCCTGATTTGATGAGTACAGTCCCATAATGGTCACAACAAACACCACAGCACATCATCCCTCAGATCCCTTCAACTGTCCAACTCTACAAGACATAGCCCTAAATCCAGGTAGGCACACCTGGAGATAAATAGCACACTGGTGGCTGTTTAAGGTGGTACTTATTTACTGTGCTGTCTGGTTGCAACTCCCATGTGTCAAATAATCTAAACCTGTTTGTTGTAAGCACTGACACTCAGTCACTGTAATCCCACAATTCACCAATAATCACTTCTATATGTCAGCTAGAATTTTAGACAGGACTGGGATCTCCCAATTATCTTAATCAGTAAGTGGTTTGTTCAGAAGACAAAATGTACCAGCGTTTGGCTGGTGGCTGGTACAACCTCCCCACCTTATTGGTAAACCCACCGTTAAAGTGTCCAACGGTTTGCAGCGATAGTCATTTAATGTGCTCCTTCCTGCCCGCCCCCAAAAAATCCCCCCACCCATCCATCTCCATCATAGCTTCCCGAATTCAAGTCCCAGGGTAAATTCAGTCCAACAAACCGCCACTTTACAGCGGTAGTCATGAACTGCACTTTTTTTTCTTCCCTTCCCTCTCTCTCCCGTTTAGTTTTCCCCCAGTCCCTCCCGAGCCCTAGCCCCCGGGTACAGAAGCCCAAGGGGGTAACAGTCCAAATGTGTATGCCATTTTACAGCAGTACACACTTATTGCTCTTCTTGCCTCGGCGGGCCTGCAGTGCCGCCCTGGTGGCCATCTCGAACACCTCCCGCACGCCATCCTTTGTCTTTGCAGAGCACTCCATGTAACCGAATGCTGCAATGCGGTTGGCCATGTCTCTGCCTTCCTCTGGTTTTACTGGCTCCTATTGGATAAAGAGAAAACCAAAAACTTTGTTAAGAAATACATTCAGTGTAGCTCTGAATATTTAAAGTCTAGAATGACAGCTATGACCTTTACTAATAAAACTAAGTGACCTGTAGTCTGGTCATTAATTATAGATTTAGTTAAGATGGGGAGGTGCATGAAATATTGGATTGTTTTACCATGATGTGGTATTTTAGTAATAATCTGAGCTAAATTGACGGGCATTCTTTGGTTATTTTGACATGATGAACACATACATGCAATATGCACGTAATACACCTTGGCTTAGACCTCTCTATCCTTCATTGGAATCTATCTATTTAGTTGTCCTAAATAAAACTTTGATTCAATAGTTAATTCAGACAAGCAGAGGAAGTTTTAGTTACCTGCTTCATTTTGGCCAGCTCTCTGCGTGTGTGTTCATCGTTACGCAGGTCTTTCTTGTTTCCTACCAGGATGATGGGAACGTTGGGACAGAAGTGTTTGACCTCTGGGGTCCACTTCTCTGGAATGTTTTCTGTGAAGGAAATTAAGAACAGAGAGATTAATGATCATTGGAAAACCATATTCAATCAAGTAAGTGTGTGCATGTCTGAGCTTATTGTGGTTGTCAAACTTTGATTTGCTAAAGGTGGGTATTTTGGAACTAAAATGTCACCACTGTATGGTGCAATAATACACAGTGCTTATTAAAATAATGAAGATTGTAACGTTTTAAAATCCTTAGTACCAAAAAATACTGAAGTTTCAAACATTTTGACATTAGTGCTTAAGCATCCTTTCCAAGACAATGGGTTTGTTATGTATTATTGTGCCTCTCCGTGTTTCAAGAACTGTAAAATCCAGAATTTAAATCACACCTGTATATAAGAAAAAAGGTCGAAAATTTCCACCTGTGTGACGATTGTGTTCAACAAGGTCCACAACATGCAGTTTGTGTATCTATCTATCTATATGTGTCTGCATTTTATACCTGTATATTGGACGCACCGGTGTTTAAGACGCAGACCGGTTTTTAGATGAAAAAATAGACATTAAAAGTGCATCTTACACACCGGATTTTACAGTAAGGGGAAATCATGAAAAGCTAATAACGGAGAAAAATCATCTCCCAACCTCCTTAAAAAGCAGGTAATATTTCATCTGGCTACAATTAAGAAAAAGAACCCGTGAAAAACTTGCACCAAAGCTATCCGATTGGACAGCAATGACCTTTACCTTTAAATGAGTTTGCAGAGTTAAATCAAAGAATGCCAGCATAATGTTGAGACGAACATTTTCAAAGCTATTTAATTTAAAATGTTAGGCACTGCAGAGATAATTCTGTGCCTGAACAAAAGAAAAAGCACAAAGAAGCGCTTCTATATCTCCACCAAGCATCATGTGATAAAGTCTTACATGGTCAGCAAAAACACTGCTTTAAACAGAAATGTGATGTCTGAGGAATACTAAAACACAGACTTAAGTATAACAGCCTTTGTTTTATTGGACTTGTGACTTCCTTTCATTCAGTTCTCTTTAACTACCTGCAGCTTTTATCGCCTTGTTTAATGAAAAGCAATTTCTATGATCAAGGAATAGCAGTTAATAATAATTATGAGCATGACTTGTTGTTTTACGGAGTGTGTGTTGGTGTGCATGCACAGATGAAAACATTTCCTGTACAAGTGGTATGAAGAGTCATAGCAGGATGAAGACACAATCTACAGAGCCTAGAAATAACAGATATATTCTGTGTTTTTCAGTTTTTATAGACGAGACAGTGATGTTGTATTTCAAGTCATGCGTAAATGTTTGTTGGTGTGTGCATGTCCATCTGTTGGTGTATCTGTCATACAATGTGAATGTGTTTTTTTACTCACCCAAGCTGTCTGGGCTGTCTATGGAGAAGCACATGAGGATGACATCAGTGTCTGGATAGGAGAGAGGTCTCAGCCTGTCATAGTCTTCCTGACCCGCAGTATCCCATAGAGCCAACTCCACCTGACACATGCACGTTGTGGTTATAGAGGGCAGGGAGAAGGACGAAGGAGTGTGGAGAAAGAAATAAAGAGAAGTTAATACGCCATGTCCATTTCATGTTGACGCCTCCAATGAGATAATAAATACTGATGGCAGCAGACCTTGTTCCTGCCAAGAATTATAAAAAGGGACTGATTTATTTAGTTCCTCTTTCCATGGAAAGAAATCAGTGCATCATCAAAATGATGAAAAAGACGAGTAAGTGGAGAGAAAATAAAACATTAATGAATGTTAGATGGACTTAATTAAGGCCTTACATGCTCATTTATACCACCTTCAAAAAATGTGAAAAATACACAGAACAACTGCTGCTATTATTCTCTTTGTTTAATTGTTCAAACCTCATTTTAAATGCATCAAATAATTACAGAGACATATAATTGTGGATAGACGTTTATATCTGCCAGCTGACAACCAGCTTCAAAGTCATCTGAGTGGAAATATCCTTTTGTTGCCATGATGGTGGAATAAAGTACACCTCTGGTGTTAACTTCCTGGTGTTAAATTGACAACAGACAAAAAAATAACAGATACTAATTCAGTATTTTTTCTTTAAAATAAATAATCTGGTACATAAAACCCTAAACCAAAACGTAACAATCCTAGATGAAACAATGAATGAGGTGACTAAAAAGCTAAATAGGGAAAGGAAACCAGATCAAGACACTTCTGAAAAGTGTGACACCTGACAAGAGGCAGCTTGAGTCCTCCTCAGCAACACACAGGGCTGGAAATCAACCAGCCAATAAAGACTCTAGGTCCCAAAACCCTATCAACCCATTATAAGGTCATGAGGGTTTATGATTGATGAGATGGGCAGGGTGCTGTAGTTATCCAGAGTGGCACCAATAAGAAACCTGCCAGTCATGAGAAGCCTAACTCCACAACAGAGCTAATTCTTTTCAGGATATAACCCGTGCCCGTGTACTGATATTACATCTAACAATGACTAGATCCTCGTCAGCTGTGAGTAAGCAAATTGGTTATCAGGAGCAACACAGACTATATGAAGGTCTGTGACTAAGCTCCATCGAGGCAGTCTGTAGAAAAGAAACAGGCTTAGCAGATGACTGCTGCAATGTGAGGGAAGAAGTGAAAATGGAGCAGTACAGTTTTATCAACACTTGCTCACTTGGCCCTGAAGGTAGAATTAGAGCGTTGAGCATGATTAAGCACCCAGGGAACAAAATTAGCCCTGATACCAGCACATAAACCACTTCAGAGACTCAAGAGGTGGAGATGTGTTGTGACAGTTACAAAACCAGAGAGCATTACTAAAAAGTTTTTTTAAATTGCCGAGCTTTTTTGGTACTGTTTTTTGTTATATCTTTTAAATTAGCTTAGGCTATAAATGCTGTAGTGAGTGGTAACGGTTTACTTTTTCCATACTTATCCTCAAATAAACATGAACAAAAAGGCTGCAGATTCTCAATGGTCTCTGTGTTTTTACTGATCATATCTTGTATAATTTTATAATTCATTTAGATGATTTAGTTCTCATCTGTACATTTACTCAGCAAGCAAAATAGCCATTCAACAAGGTGACACCACAGGTTTCAATGTGACTCAGATTTGAAGATTAAAGATAAGAGTCAGTAGCTTTATAAAAAAAAGAAAAAAAAAAGAGAAAAATAAGTAGACTTATACAAAGCATTACTTATGATCCTCAATACATGTGTGGTGGTGAATGTGTCTGCAGAGACCTTGTATTTTGATGTTTGGTGGACAAAGGATGTTTTTGAGCGGGAGCTGGTGTGCTTCCCCCAGCCAATAACAGCGCGCAGGTGAGTGTAAGAGTGGATACAATTCAGCAGTTGGACGAAATTCAAAATGTGGACTTAACGGCAAAGAAGAGAAACTATTTTCACAGTGAGGCTGAGAACCGAGTGGAAAAACTTGTATAAGGAGGGTGAACCTTGTGTTGGCTTTAACCCACAGGTGCATAGCTGACTGTCTTTCTGTTGGAAAGGCAGGTGCTTAACACCAGTGGTAAGTTTGTGCGAGTGTGCGGTAGCTTGCAGTGTAGATACAAGCAGCAGGCCTAAACTTACACACTATGTTCTGCATTGAGTATGCACTTCTGGGGGACGATGAGCCCAGAAGGAGGGGCCAAGTTTGAATGTTGTGTTTAGAAATTGCAATGAGCAATGCTACTGACTCCACCTTTACATGGAAAAGACAGATATAAGTGATAGAGAACCGGTTCAATGGTCTCACCTGTTTGGAATCCACCTCTATGTCAGCAACATAGTTCTCAAACACGGTGGGGACATAGACCTCAGGGAACTGGTCCTTGCTGAAGACAATCAGAAGACAGGTCTTCCCACAAGCTCCATCCCCCACTATCACCAGCTTCTTACGGATGGCTGCCATCCCTGAAAGACACAGAGGAAGAGGATATGGTTATGATCAAGGAGCCACATGAAAAAACAGTGGAATCAGATGTAAAACTTGTAAAGTAGAGATTTGACTTCTAGAGCACAGATTTGTAGTCAACAGGGAAAATACACCATAACCTATCCTGTCTCCAAGTATAGTATTAGTGCTAGTTACCACCACAACCCATTTTACATTCAACTTCTAGCATTAAGAGAAGAGATACGATGTGTGACAATTGTGGCATAAAAGCAATAGTATTTTATTAGTGCTGCATCTTACAACACTTTAATTGACACACTGAGGTTTAGAGCCTCTCGGGGGAGTTGTGAAATTATTAATGTAATCTGTAGTCTTGCAAACTTTTAGAAAAAGGGGTCCACAACAAGAGTAGGAAAATGGAAATGGAAGCGTAAATGGAAACCAGCAATCTGCAAGTACTTGCATACATGCAGATGTGAGGACGGCATTTAAGACATTAGCGGCCAGGATGTAACATTTAGCTGGGGTTCCAGTAATATGTGACTGTGAACAGTGTGTTAGTGTGAGAAAAACTTGCCCAACAGAGTGGGAAGCTGAGCCAAATGAGTATCTTGTAATTCTTTGAGAGCAGCTTGGATTACTCCATATTGGGAAATTATATTCTATTGACAGTGGGAACAAAAATAGGAACTAGGTGCAAGTGTCTGGGAGTTTCTATTCAATTTGACCAGCAACTTCTAGAATATTTTAATTTGTTGGTTTATAATTTATTGAAAACAAACAAAATAACATTGACGCATTGATCAACTGTGATCAAAACAGGAAATCAGCAATTTCCCTATACACAAAGGGAAGGGTGTCAGAAAGGTTCCAGTTGTAGGGTTTGGAAAAAAGCAAAGGCACAACCACTTCATTGATCAAATAGATTTCAAACAGAAGCACTGTGGCTGCCCCGGCGACAGAACTTATCATGCTAACACAGTACATTTACTATGTTTCTTAATGTACAAGTACAGCAGGAGATAACATAAGAGTGTAATAACTCGACCCATGAAGGGTTATTTCCTCCCATATGTGAGAAGGTACAACACTGTGACATTTCTTTCCACCCTGCCATCTCCATTAAAGGACTCAGCTGGAGGTGTGTTGAAGCGCTAACTCTCTGTCACCTTCTTCTGTTCCTTATGAATCCATCTAATCTGTGGTTTCTGTCTGTAGTAATTCTAAAGTGTTATCACTGCGCTAAAATGGCCCTTACAAAACTACATTTCTCATGTTATTTTGTCCTCCTGACCAGAGATCTGGGATTATAGGGATATTATAAAATAATGTGATTGTGTGCATAGTACTTATAAACAAATTTAATGTGATGCTAAAATATATTTCTGCCTTACATAGGCCTTGTAAGAATGTGTTCTGGCCCAAAACAGTCCCTTTTCCTTCCCCTCAAGTCTTTTGCTGTTTTTGTCCACACTGCAGTTTGTGTACAACTTGCATTTTCAGCAACTGTAAACTGTGTACAAGTTTCTGGCAGCAAGTCCAGCCCTTTTCCGGGCCATTTTAAACAGCACAGCGCATTTCCATGTTAACAGGTTTACTCACAAGATACCTGCCCTGACGCAAATCAGTGACACGAATACACACAAAAGTATTCCTCGCAATTTAGCCCCTAGCCTTGTTAGTCGCTGACCCCGAAATGCACTGAAGCAGTGTGAGGTGCAGCATGTATCCTATAAATGGTAGATGAATACTCTAAGTAGGACAGCAGTGTCAAAAAAGATGAAACCATTCCCTTCGTGACTTGAGGAAAAAGAATAGACAAAATCGGGGGCAGCTGTAGCCTAGAGGTGGGTGGCTCGAGAAATGTGTGAAATGTTTGACCAGCAGGTTAAATTGGTAAATAGCAACTTGCTCTACTTGAACTACAAATGTTGCCATAGTACTTATCGGCACAATATTTAACCCACTAATTGTAATGGTTTTGATGACGGTAATAATAATAGAATTTCTAGATATCAATGTTGGTATCAGACTTTAAATCTTTAAGTTGGTATTCAAGCCTTTTCAATTTAACTGGGGCATAAGTAAGACAAAACACAACAAGGAGTGGCACAAAATACACAAACAAAAGGCAGAACAACAGGAAAATCTCCATTAGCAGAGGAGACTGTTGTGTCTGAGCTCTAAACCAATTGAACTTCCAAAGACCGGTTGACATATTACAATGGAAACACAGCACACACTGATTGTTGCAGTAATCTCATAATGATTAGGCAAGGGTTGATCATTTTTGACTAATCAAACTGACCCTGGATAAACCCCCACTGTTTCACTGCCCTTCAGAACCAAACACACAACAACCACTTTGACTCATGTGGCTATGACGTGTGTAGTAACGTGTGAAGCACGGCAATTCGACGACTTTACATAGAACAAGGGTTTTAAAACAAAACTACCTAACAATTATAAAAAAAAATATGAACCAGTGCTCATCTGTTTGTATTGTATTTTATTGTAGCTGAGGGCCACATGAAAATTATTTTTTTCAGATTTCATTTAAATTTTCCCACATTTCACAACGCTGCTGTAACAGATAACATCAGAGGGAAGCTCAAGGCAGGCATTAGATATGCAAGCTACAGCTAAATATTTAGTTTCCACCATAGATATGACATTAACCAAACCATAGATATATTATACATATGCCTTTTACCAAACCATCCACAGTCCTAGAAAACATTTTTTTTTTCATGTTTTGTGTCTACGAAGAGTTGAATGATGCATAAATCAGGTTTGTTGCTGATCTGACTGCAAGCAGGCGCAATATCGCTGTTCAAAAATCAGGTTTTAAAGGGCACATATTATACTGCTTTTCAACAAGTTTAAATGACCTTCAGAGATCCCCAAATATATCTATGACATTTCTGGCTAAAAATGTATTTTATCAGAAGTTTCTTGGACTATAGCTTTAAATGCAAGTGAGCTGTGTCTGATCACACCCCTCTCTGGAAGGGGATGTGGCTGTTTTCTCACACCGCTGAGTGTGGGAACCCCTAGCAATGTTATCATGTCTTATTGTTATGCTCCAGGATTAAGTCATGTTAACGCTGCAAATCTGAGCAACTGTTTTCATTTCAAAGCTCCCCTATTGATGAGAAAGTACACAGACAATGGATACGGAAATTCATGCACAATGAGCCATATCATGAGTAAAAGTAAAAAACAACATATTTAATAACCAGTTAGCAATTTAGCCACTTCCTAGATAACATTTATGTTTGGGAGTCACTTATACGATAGGAAAGGCGTTTATAAATTCTAAATGTTCATTTAGAGATAAATAATAGAGCCGAGGGTAAAACTTGATTCCTATTTGGGTATTCAATTTATCAATTAGTCTTCACAGTTTCATCGTGTTTTGTTAAAATCCTAAATACTTCTCTAAAATCCAGATATTTTTCAGAGGACTAACTCATAACTGGAACTATGTGGACATGGCTCCAACTGGTTGGTTCTGTAAGACATTCTTCTGGCAAAAAAATGTTGGTGACAGATGAACTTCCCTAATCAATTATAATCCTGGCTGGAAAAGGCTACACGTGCACATCTCTGCCATCCTGCATGCTAGCCAACAAAAAAAAAAACATGGAATGAAATGTAGAGAAGGACAAACAACGGATAAGGAGAAAGACAGGATAATCCTCATAGGATCAAATTAACAGAGACGCTCCTGTGATTAAGACGTGCAAGAATGTTTGATTCGCACTTCACACACAGTGAATGTACACCCTTTAGAACAACTGCTGTTCATTGACAAACCCTCTTCATTATGCAGCTTCTCAAATTAATAACCATGACATTAAAAAAAAGAAAAGCAGTGTTTGATAATTGCTTTATCAAATGCGTCCCTTTGGGCTTGTTCAGAACCAATCAAACAGCAGGCCTGCCACTCCAACCCACCCAAACAATGTGCCCAAACAATAAAGACGATAAAGTGTTGACTTGAACACTTTTCTTTCTGTATGGTTTCCTTGAATGACACAGTTGTAGATGTATCATTAAAATGGTTACTGTGTGCTAGATGATTCATCAGCCTGGCCTTTAGAAAACCCCACACAGGCAACCGTTGTATCTAAAAGGCTGTCTGTGTCTATGCCAGGAAATACCCCATGCAGCCTTCAGCGTGGAAATTTAGCCCCGGCTTATGGATGGTTGACTGACTGGCTGATGAATATTTCAATTTCTGACAAAAACATGGTAGGTGTTCTTCTTTTGACACCCCACATGCTCTTCATGCGAACATGGACCCTAATACCGGTTGGCTTCATGTGATATTCAGACTAACCTACATGTTGAGCATGACCGTATACAAAATGTGCTCTATGCAGGAACAAGTCAGAGATCTTAGATTCAGAGACAACCAGATCAATCATATTGGTAACAAGGCACTGACTGTTCTGACCTTCAGACAAATTGCCACAGGGAACAAATCTAACCACTTGTGTACTAATTAAGGGTAACGCTAAAGCCTCAATGAACAGATACCATATTAAGCAACAGTCATTTCATAATCCACTTGTTTTAAATCTCAGTTGTTATATCGAATACAAAAGTGTATTGGTTACATATGGTTGCTATTACGAGCAACTTCTGCACAGAAAACCGCAGATAATAGAAACTGCTGACATTAGAAATTATCCATTTGGAGAAAGCAGACAGTGGAGGGCTGGGACTAAATGTAATTAAACCTTCAACAGAATTTAAAGAGGCTCACATTCAGTAAATTAACCTAAATTGCTCACTGGATAGCTACCATGTAGCCATGTGTGTATAATGAAGAAATCAATGACCATTTGGAAGATGTCTTTTGTCGAGATTCATCAACTGCTCATTAAATCTAGTGGCTGTCAGTCACTGTTACCTCCAGCTTTTACAGCGCAGGAGAGAATATATTTTTACTTTCCAGCTTCAAGGGTGACGGACAATTTGTACAACATGTAATAAAGCCTTGCTCCACCCTCCCCTGCCCTAGGTGCTGCAAGAGGAGCTCTGGTATCTTGTGGTGCACCACACACAACGAATATAACAAAATTATTAAAGACCGTTACTGAAAGATTTCACTGAGCCACCTATCATATATTATGAATAGAGTTCCGTCTTAGAGTTTCAGCAGTTCATTTATAGCTTATTTAACAAATTATTTCCATAGAGAATACAGTTCATGTTTGTGAGGGGACAAAAAGAAGAAATGTGATCTGCCAGCTTGACAATCATGTACAAGAATTGATTACAAATGACCAACTCCACTCAGAATAGTGCAGTAAAATCAATTGCAGTTTTTACTTACAATAAAACGCCAGGTTATAAGTATTACACTATTTACCCCACAGCCCTTGTTGGTCAAATATTTTGAACATATACTGGTTTTTTTAGAAAAGTGGCTAGTGTTAAGTGTGGTCTACTGGCCAACAAGGTAGGGGCGAAGAAGAAGTAGTTGTGGCTGTACGAGCTCCCAGTGTAAAGTCAAACATTGTTTTCAAAACCGGCTTGCCACTGGGTGGGTCACCAGAAAGATGGCGTCACCACAGAGGCAACAGATGGCTAGTGTGTCCGCAGTGGAAGAATGGGTGGGTGGCCCAATAGCAAACTAAAACCCAGGCCACACATATAAGTATGACTTAGTCAAGCTATAAAAAAAAAAAAAAGCATTTTAGTAAAGGGTTAAAATGCCCCTACACATTCAGAAAGTGTGCTCTGTGATCACTGATATCTTCTAAAAACACACCCAAAAGTAGAGTTATCCCGTTTCAAAAGTACATTAGTTGTTTTGATCCTTATAGAGTTAAACATGTCTACGTAAAATCCACTAGTTTCAAGAGAAAGATATTCAAGAAGTGTCGCTGGGGAAGCCGCCTGCTCGGTGAGTCAAGAAAACAGTCTCATTGTTTGACTATGGACGGATCACAAACGTTAATCCAGGCCAATTTTGCAGTCTAGTTTTTAAGATAGTACCAAGTTTACTAACAGCCCACCATGTAGTTTGGCTGAGCTGTTTCGGCCATATGATTCCCTGCAGTAATAATAAATAACTAACCAGCACAACGGACTGGCAACTTGCGGAAGCAGCGCAGAAATTGAGATCGGTTAGGAGAAAAAAAAGCTAACTTAGCATGCCGTTAGCCTACCTCGCTAGCCCTTAGCTTCGATACCAGGGCCTCTCGAAGCTTTTTGGTAACTTTTAAAATCATAATATCCGCGTATAAACTGAAAGAAAATACAAACGAAGTACTACGTCGCAGTGTTGTGGTATTTGAGAAAGTAGTTTACCTTCAGTTTATGTCGAAAGAGTCGGATTTTTCAGTGTTTCCCGGAGTAGACCAGTCGAGTCGCTCGTTGTTACCTCCCGTCTCTCTCTCGAACTGATACAATGAATTACTTCACGGGAGCGCGCAGCCAGTGCCTGTAGTTTTTACATGGGGGGAGGGGTGGCGGGCACGAGCATGAGAGCCACACCTGCGCGGGCACGACACGTAGGAGCACTCCGAGAGGCTTTACGGAAATCTAACTTCAGTTTAATTACGCTGAGCGGTAAACGCTGTCTATTTTCGGACATGATATTTTCCCATCCCATTTAGTTAACGTGTATTTAAATGTAACGATTGAAATCTGAGAGTTGTAATGCTGGATTTATAGGTTGTCCAAATGACTGTTAACTACAATTTGGCCCTAAATTAGTCACTAGATCACTCGGCCCAATTTCTGGTAGAGTTTTTACGGATAAAGGTGCTTAATAATAATGTGATAAATATATTTACATGTGTTCTTCAGACTACTCGACTAGTATAAAATAAATATAGATAAAAAGTGAACGATATTTATTATTCCCTTTACTGGAGTTCATTTAGCCTATCCTCTTACAGGTTTGGTGACGTTAAAGCATTAACTTTCTTTACGTGCTTGCAAGCCAGCAGTGGCCTGTCAAAATTGTGATCTGCAACTCTGTACTTACCGCACCACCTGGCGGCCACTTAGAGCAACTGAATGAATTTCGTGAATTGAAGCGCATTTTTACAGTCCGTGTTTTAAAAAACAAAATCGCTCAAGTAGGCTCTAATGTTGCAATTTCTTTGCCACACCCACTATTTGGTTTTGCTTTATCTTGTGTAGTGTGCATCTGAAAATACAAATAATTTTGTGCCACAAAAGAAAAGCAACACTTTTTTATTTGTCTTTTGCCATTGTTTCTAAACCTCTAAACCCCATTTTGACCAGCTCCTGTCTTACTCAAGCAAACAAAAACTGTGTTCTCTTGGTATTTTACTGTTGTAGAATCTTTTTATATCCCATTTAGTTAGATTTCATATCTAAACCTTTGCCAGTTTAATCAGTTTTTTGACCTATAGGCAACTTCTAAGCAGCTTCAAGAAACCAACATGTCTCCTTAGGGTAGCTATGTAGTTCCACCTTCCAGTGGAAGGTTATTGGCAGCTTGCAAAGGCAAAGTAGCTTCCCCAGCACTAAGAATCAGTATGACAAGTTACCCTCACTTTCTATATTGTACGGTACCAAATTGATTTTCACAGTACAAGTGTGGTGCAGAAGATTGTTGGCCTGATGTCTGTGTTCAGACAGAACACAAGTCAAAGGGTTTAATACTGCTATATATGAGTGTGCCTATAGTTATGTGTATCCTTATCTGAACAGTCCTAGGTATAGATTCTAAAAGAGATTTTCTCTACATTCAGGTTGGCGCTGACTTGATTAGAATATAATTGTCACACATCTAGTCCATCACGCTTTATTTATTGTGTCACACTGTAATACGGTGGCACTCTCTGGTGCAACATCCTACATGTCAGAAAGATTTAATGATGTATGGTTAAAATTGGAACTCTCTAATACCGGTAAGTGCTCAACATGTAATACCTGGTAAGACCAGGGGAAAATGTGTCATATAGATCTCCAAAGTTGATCAAATTTGTGCAAACTACCACCATAAAGCATATCTCTTTGAGTCAGGCGGCTTAGCAAAATTATGGGGACACGCCTGACAAAAGCACAAACATTTTTCCACATAGTCTCCATCACTATAGCTTTCAATTTGGGGGGGCACTTCATCAAGATGGCGGTTCCAAGATGGTGGCCATGTGAAATCGCTAAGTGCCAATATGTCTTCCAAGCCACTTAAAAAGTCAATCTTGTTGTCAATATATACATTTTCCGGGTCAAGGAATGCATTAAAATATTATTAGATGATTATTTGTGCCAAGATCAAATTATTATTTTGGCAATGTATTACATAATTTTCATTGATTCATGGGCAGTTGGACATTCATGTCCGACTGCACTCTTCCCAAATCTGGTCCTAAGCCGCCTGACTATTTGAAATAATAATGTTAGCATTTTAAACCTACATTATGTTAAAGGAATGGTAGAACTCGTATTGCCATTACAAGGCAAGGTTTTAGGTTTTAAAAGGTCAATCCACATGACCAACTTTCCATTGTTCAAGTTATCCTTACAGCAAATTCACAAATAAGTCAAAATCTACAGATGGACAGAAAATACCACAACAAAGATTAAAAAAAAGTAAAACTTTGAAATTCATTTCATACAATCTTCTTTTATTTCATATAGAGATAAAGAAATATAACAGAGAACTAAAACAGAAAAGTCTGGGCAACAGCCAAAGTACACAAAGAGAGAAACTGTTATCATCAAGAACACAGTCTGTTGGTGCAAAAGTGGGGATAGATGTGGAGAATGAGAAAAGTGAAAACTATTAAAATAAAAAAATAAAAATAAAAATAAAATAAAATTTTGCCGTTAATGACCATCTCCTTCAACGGGACAAGAAGAAGGTGACCTATCAGAACTCCAAGATGAATCTCAGAGCAGGAAAACAACCTTAATCCACAAGTAGAATACACTGTTTCTTTACCCAACAGTTACTCGTTTTCCAAAGTGACCGACGTGAGGGTAATTTGTTTTCTGTCAAAGTAGAAAAAGACAACTTTTCCGAACCAAGTGTGTAGTCCCATTTAACATGAAAGCATTTTAGTGTTTATTCATTGACTACAAGGATTTGACAAACTAAGAACAACGCTGACATCATTCAGACCAGCAGATTCTCTCACTCAACTCCACATGTGAATTGGCATTATTTATATAAACAGTGACACGTGATTGAATTCTTTCTTCACTTTTAAGATGTTTTACAACCAGAAAAAATAGGAGCACAGAAAACAAAACAGAGAACAGGGATGGAGTGGAGGTTTGGCTGAAAATCAGACCGGCCAGGCCGGGATCAATCTGAAACATCATACTGCCGACTACAGTATCCCTATGCCTTTTCCCCGATCGAATCACACGACTTCACCAGATTCACAACTTCAGTTATCTTAAGGAGTCCATGCTTTGCTGATTTTTATTGTATGATGTACGCCAAGTGGTGCCAGAAAGTATGCTAAAAGAAACTATCATACTCCTTTCAGGGGAACTTAAGGAGAACTGACAAAGGTGTAGTCGTGCTGTTATTAACAGTTATTATTTTGTCAACGGGTTTGTTTGGACACAGGTTGCGTCATGGCTACTTTTCGTATCGCAGATTGCAGTTTGAGATTTCAGATGTTGGACTGCAGCTCTTATCTCAAAGACACTGTCTCCTCTTTATTTGTTCACTCATTTATTATCATTAATCAAAGGAACGGCCCCACTCATTCAACACGCGCTTATCATCTCCAATAGTAGAGCACACTGACATAAAATGAAGAAATCAGAGAAATGCAGGAAACAACACACAGAATTTCATCTCTCCAGTATGGCTTATCACTTCCTGTACGCGATACATTTCCATCAGGTGAAAAGTAACAATCATTCAGAGTTACGCTCAAAGTGTTCCTCAGAGCACATGAGCTTAAACTAGTGGCGTTTAAAGACAGGCTGGGTATCTCTCAGGGGTCGTATGTCTTTTTCCAATTTTGCTTACTGCTTCACATAAGTCATTCTTCTGAATCAAAAACCATATTTTGGGAACATTTTCTTCAAATTCACAATGTACAATGCATCAGCCGAGTTCCAGTTCAAACATGGCAACTAAGCCTGTGGGCTGAAGGTTTCCAAGCTGATCAGGTCTCAGGCTTACATAACAACATTTTTAACATTCTTTCCTTTATATCAATTCCACCATTTCCCCATTTACCACACATTTAAATACAACCTTTAACACACCATTTCAGTTTTTTTTTTTTAATAGTTGAAGTACTTAATTTGGTTCCTTTTGATCATCGCCAGTCCCACAGTTTAAACGAGTCACTACTTCAGGCACAAGAGGAAGGGATTTTTCCCCTTACTGGGTTAATGTTTGAGATCAGTGGAGTTCCAAATAAGCTGCTGTGTCCGGGGTTACATTTGGTTTGACAGTTTTTGGTCTGCTTGTATGCATGCTTACTGAATCTGTTACGTAATACATCAGCAAGGGCACTACAAGATTCTTTCTGCACCACACAAAAACGTTGGGAGAATTGTGAAAAACAGAACCCTTTCTTATCGAGTCAAACATGTTAAGACAAATTCTGTACATCAACATTTTGTGCAGGAAAACCAATCGAACGTATTCAACATCACTCTTGCTCATGATTCTCTATCTTAGGCAGCTGGAGAGTCTTTATAATTTAGATCAAAAGTTCACAAGCTTAAAAACAATTTAGCAGATTGTCAACACTGTGATCTATCATCTGAAATCATCTGTTTCCTCTGACTGACATTAATGAACAACGGCAGGAGGGAAATGGGAGATTTGATCATTTGCATAATAGTGTAAGACGTCTACAGCGATGACTGTAGACAAAATGAATGAATCACTGACCTTTTTGGTCTGAATAGTATTTACGAGGCGCTTTAGACAAAGTAATTTAGCTGCCCATCATCCTCTCTCTCGCTCTCTGAGATTATTCATCACAGGCCCCTGCTTTCTCTGCGATTTTTTAAAGATGAAGTATGTTACAAGTGCAAAGGATGTGAATGGGGAACTGTGCAGGTGTTATTAGTCCACAAAAAAATAATTTATCCTCATGAGTCAGTGTCTGAGGAGCAACGAATCAGCGTCCAGTTTGACGCAGCACAGATGCAAACTCTGAATCTGAGCTGTATGAATCATTTTGTGTAAACCCAGACGGTCTGTGCGTTCCACACATACGTACTCTCTAACCTTCCCTGATCTCGATCACTCCGCTGTATTCATGATGTGGCACTTACTACAATTACAACCACGACAGATGAGGACCACTTTCATCCACCCATACAACTGAGAGGCTATTACTGATTCCTGTATGGTTACAGATTCTACATGGAGGAAGTGCAAAAGGATACAGGGTGACGCATAAGGAGATAACCTTGAAAATATCATAACTCAAGAAAAAAAAGAAATAATAATCCAAATCCCCATCCACAGTTGTGTGTGAGTGTAACAACATCAACACGTCTTGTTAATGCTCAGAGTTTGTGTTTTTGTTATTGTACAGATGTTTTTTGAACCGACCCAGAAAGAAAAAACAAAACAGTTTTCAATTGAACCTACAACGGGCAGCTAAAGATTTTTGGGACATCGTCTTGTTCTCTGCCTGTTGTTTCAGAGACAGCAGGCGGCAAATCGATGTAGTCTGGAAAATCCACTTCACCTGGCACCACTTCAAATCCTGAAGTTCATCAGCAGGACAGGACCTGCAGCAGCTTCTCTCCTCCGATCCAGCAGTTGGTACTGAGCTCTTAACGTTTCACACTTCCTGTGTCACACGTGGTTACATCAAGTCAAAAGCCGATGTCATTTCTCCACTCATTTTCCGAATGTCGTGTTGCAGCTTCTGCCTTTCCCCAAGTATCAAAAAATGGCCGAGTCTCTGTCGATGACTGCTTTCGATCGGAGAACGATTAAGGCCGCTCCATAAAGAGTTACAAAAAGAATATTGTACACCCATTTTGTTATTTATTTAGAAAGCAAGAGAAAGAGACACACGCAGCAGAGGACAGAGCCCTGCGAGATAGAGTTCAGACAAGAGAGAATTTTTGTAGACGTTCGGTCTGATACAGGAAGGAAGGGAAGAATTAAGTGTCCAGTTTGCCCTCTTACACTGAGCATTTACAGCCAACACGTCAGAACTTAAAGCGCTGTACAGTAAGACCCCCGCAGTGCTTACGATTACACTGACGGAGTGTTTTCGTATGAACTGCTGGAGGATGTCATGTGTGTCTGTGTGTTTGTGATATAGAGTGTGCCTAATCACTGTCATTTGATGCGCCTGTATTCTAGACAGGGACCTGAACATGTCGGTATACCTGCGTCTGACACAGAACAGAGCGTGTATATTTGTACATGTAGGTCCTGTTTGTTACGATCTAGAAGGTGCGTCCTCGAAGCTTATGATGCTGGACTCCGGGTGTTGGGCTCCGCCTGTGGAGGCCGCGCCACCACTCTGTGACATTGAGGACGAGGATGTGGATGAGAGGGAGCCGCCGACGGGTCCCCCAGCCGATCGAGGTGTGGAGGTTGAGGGGTCACGCCCACCTGGGAGGAGAGGCTGCGTGTCGGTTCTGACCTCGTCGTCTTCGTCGTCGTCTTCGTCGTCCATGCTGGGCCAGGCGGACTGGTCTTCCACGCGCTTGAGCCGTTCGTTCAGAGCCTTGAGGGCCAGTTGTCTGCAGAGGAGAGGGAAAGAGAGGCGCTTGTCATCAAGGGAGTCCTGTTATTTATTGATAAGTGCTCCACACAAGATCTTTGCATCGACATCACGATTACGGGGAAGAGTATTCCTCATCAGAAATAAAGTCCACTTGTTATAGCTGACTTCATGTCAATAATGTCTGATGTGTTTCACTTGATGCCTGAAGCATCACTGCAGCAGCCTGCCAACAATACAAATCTTTGACTGTGATTTTCTACCCACAAACCCTAAAGTTGACTGAACTTTTTGTCACTGAGACGAGTAGAAGGATTTTAAGGGATTTCATGGAACAACAAAAATAAATAGTAATTGACTGTTTCAGAGTCAAGACCTTTAAAACCTTTAGTTAAAATATATAAAACTTCCTTCAAATATTCAATTTTTGTCATGATTTTTAATCAAACCAAATCTCTTTCTGCAGTTATTTGGTATTCACATTATGGGATGTGTCGTTTAGGTTTTTGCTAAAGGGTTAGGGTTAGTGGATATAAAAAGTCTACACGCCAAAGTTTAAATGTCAGTTTTTGTGATGTAAATTAGACCAATAAAGTTAATTTCAAAACTGTTTCCACCCTTAGTGTGTCCTATAACCTGTGCAATTCAATTGAAAAAAAAAAACAACTCAAATTTGAAATAACTAAATATCAATGAATACTAAAATAATGTGGTCGCATAAGTATGCACACCCTTAAACTAATACTTTGTTGAAGCACCTTTTGATTTGATCACAGCATTCAGTGTTTTGGGGTAGGAGTTTATCAGTATGGCACATCTTGTCTTGGAAAAATGTGCCAACTCTTCATTATGCTTTTGATGGATTTTCTGCAGAGATATGACAGTGGATAGAGTCAGAAATCAGGGAATGACATGCAGGAATGCAGCCACAGGTCTGATTGAACCCAGGCAGCGTCCTTCAAGGACTACAACCTCTGTACATGGGGCGCTTGCCCTAACCACAAAGCCACCGCCACCCCAGGGGTAAATACTTTGACTTCTTGTTATATTTCTGTGGCAAATCCTTCTCCAACTCATATTTGATGAGACTCAGTCCATCTGGGACCTAAATTAGGTTAGAGTATTCAATTGGAAGGATATTAGAGCACTGCAGTTCATGTAACTCACGTATTGTTCTCAAAGAGAAAAACAACACACACAAAAGTCTCCCTGCCTTGTTTTGCATAATAATAGTAATAACAAATGTGGTCATTCGGAATAAAAGTATGCAACAAGTTAGTTGATTGTAAAACATCTAGAAAATAGATAGCTATTTCAAATTGTCCTTTCATAATGGCAGCTATGACAAACATCACTTTTGCATTTTGTAATATCTATGCATAGGTCCTCAGGATCATGAATTTTTTGCATAGCCTAATTTCTATTTTGCTCCTGGTTTTGTATAACATGACCTGTCAGGTGACCTCAGGGTTTTATATATTAGGCGTGCAACAATTCTCAATAAAATATTGAACTATTCGGTACGGCATCCACGGTTCAATACTGACTTGAGAATTGTGGTTTTAACGGTTTGGCGTTTAACTAGTTTCCGAGCATTGTATTTCTCTCTAAATTGGCTCTGTGTGTGCCTGTGTGTGCCTGTAAGTCAGCGCTCAGGGATGATGAAACCCCGGCCGCCAAGTGAGTTAATAGCCAATCACCACGCGTTAAAGTTTGGTAACGCTGACAACAACATTACAATTCCCGGTGGGCCGGGCTGCCTGAAGGGCGGCCAGGGCCGGTACAGTGACAGTCTATAGATCATACAGGCTGCAGTCATTGCTCAAGTAGCGTTACACTATAGACCAGTTTCTGATAGTGTGGAGCGAGCGTGCGTGCCTGGAAAACATGTACTGCGCAATGTTTCCCACTCGTCCAGGTATATTAACGACCACAAACACCCTTTTTCCGAAAGCCTCTCTCCCTCATTATGTCAAAAACATGCATTAAAAGATAACTGTGTCCGCGAATGCGAGAGGGAGAGAGAGCTATACGGGTGAGCGAGAGTCGGGGGACGTGCCATTACGCATATAAGTGGACGGACAAGAAACAAAAAGTGAAATTGATCATCTGCTCTACAGTCTACATGTTAACCAGTGAAGTGTGTGAGAGTGCCCCTCTGTCTGTGCGTCTGCGCATCACCCTCACTGCTCTTATTAAAAACTCTAAAGTGGTCATAAACCACGTCTGAACCTTCAGTGTGAGGTTTGATGTCTTTTGAAATGTTCTTAAATCGCCGTTTGAGCTGCTGTTAATACTCAAAATATTTACAATACTGAACATTACAAGAATAAGAGAGGAGCGATAATCGTAACTAAAAGAGAAATATGGCTGTATACCACCAATACACCTTTTTGTTGACATTCATTGAGCCAATTGTAGTTTACTTCATGTTCAAATCAAATCTGACCTTTGCAATTGGCTGAAAGGAGAGCACCTGAATTTGTTTTGCTTCAAAGTAAATAAATAGTTTTAACACTGGAAACATTTTAACAGCCCGGTCCGTCAGAACCAAACCGTGAACCGTGACCAAAAAACCGAGGTACGTATTGAACCGTGGGCTGACTGTATTGTTGCATCCCTAGTATATTTGTGGAGGTGTGTCCATTGACTTGTTCATGTCTGATGAAGGGTGAGAGGCTCGAAACGTTACACATGAGAGTCCATTAAATTTCATTTGTTGGAGCTACTTCTGGTGAGCGGACTCAGTACTTTTTTCTATCTTTGATGTTTTTTGGTCCAGCACCCAGCACTTCAACCTTCTCGGATGTGCGTGCCTTTTTGAAACAAAATGAATGTTTTTGAATGAAGAAGTAACATGATTTAAACATCATCCCCTTATAACAATCATTTCCCACATAGACCTCTCAATCAGTAGCCAACAAATATCAAGCACTTACAGATGCTAATTACATGTGATGTAAATATTCAATGTTTGTCACGCTCGAAGATGGGATGATGTCCGCAAGAGCAGCAGCATATCGAACACCAAAGGACGCATTTCAGCAAAAAAAGGTGCGTCTGTACACGGCTTCTCTACCCAGATTAAAAGATGTTAAAGGACATTGCGTGTTCTGACTTTTATACTGTCTTCTAAGTCTGTTTAGGGTTGTACACCTGAAGAGTTCTCACTGTTTGAGTGTGCTTATTGTTCTACTATTTATCCTTGAAGATGGAAACATTTCCCTGACTAAGATGAGCTGAGATAAAGACGAAACACAAAGAAGCTTAAACAGTTGTCACAACATTGTGCAACTGCGTATCAGATGTCGGTATACAGATGTGTGATTGCTCAGCAAACCTTACCTGGATCGAAAATGTCTACCTTTCCTCATTCATTTTCCACTTATACTTGTAAACAAAAACTTATACAAAAAAAAAACAAGTTTCCCCAGCCTGGAGTCTGACCAAGGCTGCATTTATGTGGTACTCAACTTAACCATTAGGCAAAAAAAAAAAAGTTCAATTACCCCCTTCACAATTACAGGATCACAATCTGCGTGTGTGTGTGTGTGTGTGTGTGTGTGTGTGTGTGTGTTCATCTTTGTGTAACGTCATCTGTATGACAGCTTGGGAGTGTGTCTGCTCGACAATGGAGCAGAAGGAAATAAACACTCTGACAGCTTGAGAGTGTGCTCAAGAGTCTGTGTGTTGTAGAGCCTAAGACATGAGCATGTTCAAACTGTTTGTCAAGTATGGCAGAAAAAAGACGGAGGCCTAACAGACCTTCACTGTGTAAATAAAATGAAAAACAATACTTAGTCTCTCTGGAAGGTATTTATCTTACTCTATGGGTGTGTGTGTGTATACTGTTTACTTGTGTATTTATAGTCTTAATTCTTCCCTGTTTGCTCTTACTCACCTCCTCCTCTCTGCGTCTTGAGGATCTGTTCCTGGCAGGCTGATAGTGATGGAGGAGGGCGCCCCCACGTCGTACCTCTTCACCATCTTCCTGCAAATCTTGATTTTCACCAGGGCTGAGTGGACAAGCCCAGCCAGCAGCCCCACGGCCGGCTGCAGTGCCTCAGGGAAGAAACTAGCAAAGGCAAAGTGGTCCGACATGTCACCGCGGCCCCGGCTGTGCCTTTGGTAGAAACGAAGGTAGACCCAGCCGGACAGAGCGCCATAGCTGTATGAAGCCAGGGGGGCGGAGCTCTCAAGCAGCCCAGAAAGGCGCAGTAAAGCCAGAAGAAGGAGGACCAACGCTGGTGCTGCTTTGAGTCTCACCTGGAATGAGAAGGGGGATTATTTAAGTTCTTAAATAAATCATCAGGTACAGATAGCTTCCCTTTTTTGTCCAAAAAAACAACATGCCTGCCAGTTTCCATATTGTGCTCAACCCAGCTAGAGTCAGGAATTGTAAGACCAAACAAAAGCTTCTAAAATGCGAGGGTGGCAGAAATCACAGTAATAATGTGCCAGTGTTTTGATGACGTTTGTTTGCTAACATAATCAGCTGAGAGGTGGGAGATTAGAGTGAGGGAACTTTTTTTTGTAACACAGAACTCCTAAGCTGCACAAGAAGAAGGCTAAGGAAAAATGAGCTGCCTTTAAAAATGATACATAATGAACCCTGTACTTCAGCAAAAAACGAAACCCTTATCCCGACACCAACTGTAGGCTTTTCTGTAAAACGGGGTATTTGAACAGATCGTCGTCCAATCTTGGACAATAAACGCAGCAGGCCTAAACCAGAGGACACAGGTCAAGTGGAGCAAACAATAGACAGCTCAACACTGACCTGTGAACCATAGATTGATGTTGTCAGTAAGAAAGTATGAGCTTGTATTTTGCCCTCAAAAAGACTGACATTCATTACCTTAACATATCAGCATTTAAAGCACAACAGAGACATTAGAAAACACTAAAAAGGAGAGGTTCTACTTGGAAGTAATAAGATAAAAACACAGAAATGCTGTGACATACAGACGGCACAAATGGAACAATGTATATTCCAAGAAAATCTTATTTAAACAACGTGGGAAGACTTCTCACTGAAAAATCAAAAGTATGTGCAAAATAAAACACGTTCCATATTAAAATAATAATTCTACCTGTTAGTGTTTACTTGTTTGTTCTGCCTTTAATAAGTTATTAATAGTAAAATGCCTGTTTGGCGTATTCCACCAGTGAGAAATTTGAGTAAAAGCCTGAGTGAAATGTTGCTGGATGGAAGCAAGACAAAACAAACATCATGGGCATGTTTATTTCCGGCAGTGAAAAGTCTTGCACTATAAGAAGTATTTGACTTTGGGGATAACCTTTGATTAACTTTTTCAAAAGACAATACTAAAAGGAAAGTGTGTGTAAAATTGAGTACTTCAGTGCCTTTCCTATAACTTAATTACTTATTTGTCCATTTTAAGAGCTCTGCTTTGAACTCACTGCTGCCTAAATAGCTGAAAACACACAGTACATATCCAACCTCTTCCAAGACTGAAAACAAGAAGCATTAAGTGCATACCTTAAGCTTAAGTATCTGGCAGATTACCTTTACTTCGAAATAATTGTGTCCCTACTCTTTGCTTACCCATTGTGAAATTCTCTGTTGTTTCAAAGTAAAAAAAAGTTTATTCTATTTGTGACTGTGGCTGGAAGATGTACATGTGTCCTACACAGAATCTGACACAGACACATGTTATGCTGGTTTGGTGTCCACTGTCTAGTGCTGTTCAACATTCTTGTTTGGATACATTCTCAAGTGAACTACACCGCCCTACTCCTCACTGGTCTGGTACAGATTCAAGCAGAACAGTGATACTTTGCTTCATGTGTTGTACTCACCTGTGGCACTCTGAGTACTGTGGTATCCCCCATAGTCTGCTTCAGTGCCACAAGGACACCACCCAGGAACCCAGCTGCTCCATGCATTTGAACAGCAAACAAGAAGTCCAGGTCAAAGGTGGCAACATAGGTGAGGAGGTAGGAGAGGCCTGCCAGGAGGCCTGCAGAGATGTTGACCACTGCGAAGAAGATCAGGAGCTCCAGAGCGCCCCACAGAGGCTCCAGCAGGCGCCCACAAGCCATAACAGTCCCAACATTGGCTGCCACACCCCAGACATGCTGCTCCACCACCCCATGGGTCACCAGTGTCCACACCCAAAAGTTAGGTGGAAATAGATATCCTGGGGTCACCCCAAGTGCGTATGGAGTGTCAACAGCCCATGACAACAGGTAGAGGATGACCACCACAGCACTTATACTTTTTACCACAACACTGGTGCTGGCAAGGGCAGCCAGGAAGTGTTGTCTAGCCACCGGCAGGTAACGATTCATTTTTGGTCTGTTGTGGAGGAGATCCTTCTTGAGCAAAGCAGCTCAAGAGAATAAAACAGCGGGACAGTTGTTTCTGTTGCAGCAGATGTTGGAGAGAGTTTAATTATGCCAAGCAGAACAGGTGACACCCGGTATCAAAATCCCCTCCTCTCTGTGAGACTTCATTCGGATTGCTAGCTTTGAGTTGATCAATATGGCGTTGTTAATCAAGTGAGTGAGGTCAATTTGTCTGTCCAACAAAGTAACAAACTAAAGGGTGTAGCTGACAATCATCAGGATGTGATAACCTGAGCTAGGTAACCCTGTGATCCTGGTGCCGAGCTAGCGACCTAGACAAAAGAAGACCAACCTCACAGTTCACTTCCAGGTAACATGCGGATGGCTGTAGCCAAATATGCAAATCAAAAATGATACTAATAACACTCAGAGTCAACTTCTTCAGAAGATCTCGGCTGGCTTTGCGTGTAAACACAGGACAGCTAATGTTAGCTAGCTGTCAAAATGTAAGCGTCTTATCCTCCGCTGATTTATGTCCACCACGGAGGAAAAGAATAGTCTTCGCTTTATTATAATAGGACAGTTACCGTAAAACCTGAACGGTCAAATCTGTTCACGTAGTTCCCGTCTTGGTCCTCTACGCCTTTTCGGCCCGGTGTCTACCGGGGCTAGCCCGAGGATTTCCAGCAGCTAGCAACAGGCCTCCATAACAATGTTAGAAACGCTTCTGAACTAGCGTCAGTTTGTGTAAAATTCACAGGTACTTTATACTACCTTGGCTTCATATGTTTAATTTAATGTACTTCCGTCTTTTGAGCTTTTGAGGACGAGTCGCCGGAGGAAATTCTGTTGTCTTGATAGGTAGCCTCCTCCTCCTCCTCGTAACTCCACTCAACAACTGACCTGCGCTGTCTGCCACCGTCATCAACAATCGGTGAAAAAACGTCAAGTCACGTAACTTTCGAGCACCAAAGCATGCCGGGAATCCGAGTTCTCTATAAGATGTGTTTATTGTTACTGTACAAGTAGGCTACAACCTGGCTACAACGAAATGTTGTTGGAGCAAGCCTGTAGATGCCTAATATATAGAAATATAGAAATATAGAAATACTAAAATCAAATATTCAAATAAGAAATACAATTAAATAATATATTTTTTTAGTATTATTAAATATATATTATTATAATCCGAGTTCTCTATGACATAGTTTACATTTTATTTATGTAACATCTTTGTTGTCCACGTTTGCACATATGCCTGCAGTATATGATTTGTACAGAAAAAAACATGGTTTAACCATTCATTTAATTAAAATGTAGACCGTAAAGGTGTGCATTTTAGTTAAGGAAATATTTTAGCATAACATAAACGTTTTTTTGTTTTTTTTTATCAGTAGGCCCACTTACTAATCATATTGCAGCTTAAATATTAGTATAATAACGAGCATTGTTTCGTGAACTTCTTTAACAATACTCACAGTAAATGAACAATAATAGGCTGCCTAGCCTACCATAGCTGCCTACAAGTTAATCCTCAAGTACCCAATCGATCATTCACAGGTCGAAGTAGAATTTGCAATAACTGAAGTGCATTGCAGGTCTAGTTTCCATTTTTGTGGTATTCTGTGGTCAAGGTTTGTTTGTGTCTGCATGTGAAGTTTGCATACTGAATACTACCATTAAAATACATTTTGCTGATACTGCAAAACCAATAGATATGTTCCTATAGCCTATATATTTTTATACTAATAAATTGTATGCAGAGATATTACTTGCATATTACTTAATTTTACAACACTAGATTAAGGACCTAAAATGATATTGGAGCTTTAATCTCCAACCACTGTACGCTTCCTATGTATATTTCATAAACATTATTATTGCTGTTCCTCTAAAATAGATAAAAAGCACATTAGAGCAGTACAAAGAGCTGTATTTTTTTCCTTACCCATTCAAAAATACTCTCAAAACACATACAAATAACTCATATGCATTTATTTTATACTGAACAACCACAACTTACATTACTTCAACAAAAAAGGACTTTCAGGTTGTAACAAAGATGAAATACACCGACCATAACAGCAACTTCCATTTAAAGTTTACAGAAACAGATAAAGACCACAGGCACAATTTAATATAAAAATAAAAAGTATGTGATACTTCTTGGGCTTCACATGCGTATAGGCTCACATACAACACCTTTTGGACTTATTTAAGACTCATGCACTCTAAAACAGTTTGAACCAGTTTGAACCTTCATGTTCAAGCTGAACCACCAACCACCAGCCAGCAATAGATTTATTTTTCTGGCTGTGGTGAATAACTTAAATATGTTTTATATATTTGATTTCGAGGCACAACTTTAAACCTTATGGTGATGAGAGTGGATGTTCATTCTGGAAATTACCATCACCGTGGATGATATGAAATCATAGTGATGGACAGTACCGATGTCCACACAAACAAAAACTGGTTGTCAGGTTTTGCAGTTTGATAACCTTTAGTGATGTGAGTAGGTCAAAGTCTTTGAAATAAAAGCTCATGAATTTTGGATTTTCACAAAGAAAGGTTGTGGCGTTTTGAAAGGATTTCAATATGATAACTCCAAAACCTTCAAAGCAAACATCTGCTTTAAGACAGAGTTCTAACGCAAAGAGAAACTCCTCTAAGCAAGTGACCTTTAATTAAAGTGACAAACCAAACCCATGTTTCACCCTCAATGTTACGTTTCAATGATCTACTGCTTAACTAGAAGAACAGGATCATTACATATACTGATAAAACCAATACAATGATATGTATTGATGCAAACCAATAAACAGAGGACAACAACCCAGTGTAGCTCTTACATTTGAAGCTGGCTCAGTTTGGCTGTAAATCTGAGGGGGAAAAAAAGAGTTCTTTCTACAATTGTGATGACTATTTGTAATTAAATTCAAACATATGGCTAAGAAAAACAGACTGTGTTCTTAAGATGTCACTTATTTTACATTATTCCCCGACTTATCGAAGTGAACTGTCTGTGTTGCTTCGGTTTATTGAGTGTCCAAATTTACCTCTTCTTTTAAAACTTCATTTAAACCACAAATATGTTTAAGTAGAACACCTGCATGTATTGTGAATATGATCTGCAGCAAGTACTTATAATCCGGCCTCATGAAAAGTCAGCTGTTAACTCTACATCAGGCATGTGGATGAATTGTGTTTTCCATCTTAGGGCCTCAAGGAACTTTTTGTTTTCAATCAAAGCCCATCAAGGTGATTCTTCTGACTCTAAAGCCGCACTGCTGTTAACACCGGATTTAACACACAATAAGCATGCAAAGCTTTGGTTAAGACAAACAGAAAAACGGTAGATTACAAAGTTCATATTGTATTTATATGTGATTTCAGAAAGAGTGTGCACTGTTGTTCTCACCTTGCATGCACCCTTGTGTGTGTGTGTGTGTGTGTGTGTGTGTGTGTGTGTGTGTGTGAGAGAGAGGGAGAGACAGAGCGGGTGCATGCTCTACATCTGCTGCTACTTCTACTGTCAATAAATTAGGAAAAGTTTGATTTAGAACACGTTTCTTTTTATTTACAAACTTCAAAAACAAAAGAAAAAGAACAAATAAAGGATCTAAAAGTAATCCAAGGTCATACACATTATCCATCGATAAACTACACAAACAGGCTTTGAACAGAGCCAACCCTCCAAGACAGCAGCGTTTAATCTTCTCCTCGGCTAAAATGGAACAGGAGACAGCCGGTTTTGTCTCTGTCGATTTTTCATAAATAAATATGTAAATTCAAGTAGAAAGCTTTGAAATATAAATCAGTCAGCGCAGCGAATGCCGTGCTGACGACCAAACAATTCAACAGTGAGGACACTCGCTCGCTGTCACAGGGATGACACAGATGGACATTTTTGATGATATGGTTATAAACAAAGAGTAAAAAAAAAAGAAAAAAAAGGAAAGAGAAGCACTTGATATTCATTTCTTTTCAACTGTTGTATGGTTGGACTATTTCAGTTCCTGACTCAATGCTTGTGAATAAGCGTTGTTTACATGCAAAGAATGGCTCATATCGTTCAGAGTAAGTTCTTAGACTTTGTTGTGAAAGAACGTGTGAGCAGGCGGGACGATTGAGAAGTCTGAGCTCTTCAAGATAAGAAAAGTGTTTTTTATCCCAGCTCAGTATCACAGTAAATTATCCTCGTGTCCCTGCTGCCCTGGGTTTGGGGTTTTTCTCATAATCGAGAGACGATCAGAGTTGTCTTTAATGGGATTCAATGTTTACATCTTAAATATGCTTTTCTAGTCATTTGCACAGTAACGCACTAATTAGTTGGTCCACATGCTAGTTCTGCACAAGTTCACATGCTCAGGTCGGATTGGCAGATCATCAGTCTTCTTAAAAAACAGAAAATTTTACGATCCGTAGTGACAACAATAGTAAATATAACCTTAAAAAAATTAAAAAAAAAAAACTTTACAAACAAGATCAAAGAAAAAAAAGCAACCAAAAGAGAGAACATTGTACAAAAATACAAATACAAATGAATAAATATGCACCGTCATAAATAAATAAATTTGGTAAATTCAAACATTGTAAAAAGATGAGAACAAAAAAATGAAACATAGGGAAACTAACAATTGTTGTATGCAGAACAAATGGAAGTGAAAAAAAAAGGAAACGCCCGATGTCTTTTCATGACGATGTTAAAAAAGATGTTTTGTTTTGAACAAAAGAGCTGGTGCTTTAAAAAAAAAAAAAAAAATCCCACGCTGAAGCCATTTAGGAGGAGAAGATTTACTACTGGAGAACAGTGCTGACCAGAGTGAAGAGTTTGTGTGATCTCAGGGGGGGTGGGGGGGTGGTCGATGGAACAGCAGAACTACGGTCCATGGTGTGTCTAAAGGGAACTTGGTCGCTATGATGAAGCTTCCCCAGCTTCCCGCCGGTCTACAGACGTATACAGATTAAGTGTCTTTTACAGTGCAGTACAGAGTACAGTGTTACCTGTGAAGGTCTTACTGAGGGATGGATAATGGACTGTGAGGATGCTGTAGAGAGTGTGTGTTGCTGTGGTGGATATCATTGACATTATTTGGTCTTATAAGACACAATCCTCTTCCATGGAGGTTTCTGATGTGCTTCTGAATTTCTTTTTTTTTTTGGCAAAGCTACACCATCTCTCCAAAAAAAAAAAAAAAAGTTTGGTTTAACGATGACCTCTGTTCACAAAATGAGATGGGAAAGAGTAAATATAAAAACAAGAGTCGAGATGGAATCTGTGAGTTACCAAACTAGGTAAAGCAATTCTCTTTTTTTTGTTTTTTTGTAACGATTCCTTTTGTGACCCTAGAAACACAACACACACATACAAACACAGTAACGACACGAGCGTAACCAAACACTCGGGATTGCGAGCTTAATTCGTCTGGGGTTGTACAAACACGTATATAGGCTTAAGTGAGTGTTTTGCATCGTTTTTTGTTTTTTTTTTCTCTGCTAGGCTACAGTAAGACTGTGGGTGAGATTCAGAGAGCCGCGGTGAGCGCCTGTCTCTCTTTACCTATCCTCTCTCACAGTTCACATTCAGAAAGATGGAGGCAAAAAGGCATTTTCTGTTGGGGGTTTTTTTCCCCCCTCCGCTACGAGGAGGAAACCTCACTAAAACACAGTTTTTTTTTCTCATTTTCACCTGGCTGTCTTTTAGGCATTGGATTTTCTTTAAGAAGTTAAAGAGAATACATACATATAAAATACACACACACAATTACAGAAAAATCAGATCTTCCAACGTCTGATGCCTAAACAGAAGAAGTCTTATTCGGAAAAAGGCCTGGTTTAAAGGCATTTGATTAAGCATACATTCGGTCATTAGAGTTTTAAGGTTTCAGTAATCGTCTTCA